TCCAACCATATAACAGTGTCATCCTGTAATCTTTTAGTCCATTTGAAGTGTCACGATCCTTTTTGGCTCAAGTTTATTTAGAGGCAAATTTTTCAGAAAAGCTCAGTTTCCATTTAGCACCTTAACAAAATGGTCAGATTTTCCACAGTGCTTAGCAATAACCTCTTCATTTACATACCTAACTGTGAGCTGAGCTCTTTCGAAAATCTAGCCATTAGAGCCTTATCATGACAGAGGGAAGCTAATATATAAGGAAATGGGTCAGAAGGGGCTGTACAAACTAAAGCAGTGGTTCGGTGCAGTGCTTGCTACACACTTGAGGCTGCAGCAGCTCCTCCACACAATTATCACATACTGCGAGAGCTCCACAGGTGCAAGAACCAGAAAACAGGCCTTGCACAACAGATCACCTCCTGGAAAAGAGGGGCTGAAAATCTACTGTGCAAACACTGATGCTGGCTTGACCACTGAGAGCTTCAGCTGCCTCTCTGTGCCCTGCCACAAAGGAGGGCATCATAGAGGCAATCTCTAAACTGCTCAGAAAGGGTCCTTTCTGCTCTGGTCAGGAAGGGATTGGGCCTTAATCTTCACTCTCCTCCTTCCAAGCAGCACCTCCCTCCTTTCTTCCCATTCTTCCTTTGATCCAGAGTGGGTCAGCTGGCAGGACAATCTTAGGCTTTCCAGGTCCCCAGAGTAGCTCCTGGTATCACTTTCCCATGGCAGGGAAGAGACACAGGGAGCTACACTGGGGACCTGAAAAGCCTAAAACTGTCCTGTCAGCTGACCCACTCTGGCTCCAAAAAAAAAATCCCATTTTAATTCAACCAGGGCAACAACATCACCCCCTGCGCTGAGTTTTGCTAGACACCAGTGGGGCTCAAGAGTTCATGGACCGCCTGTCTGGGGCTCAGTTCTCTAGTCACCCCCCACTGCAGCTGCAGTCCCAAGATGCTGAGAGAAATCTCCCTCCCCCGAGGCCGGGGAGGCACCGCTTCCGCGCTAGGTGACGGCTGAAGCCTTGCCCCTAACGTGCCCCCACTTGCTTTTTAAAATCCGTGCCAAATTGCCATCAAAATCTAGAGCCCACTGGTTGAGGGCACAGGTAGCCACTGTCACGGTCCTGCCCATGGCTGCTGCTCCGCCCGGGGCGCCGCTCCTCCCCTGCAGTTGGTTGCACCCAAAGCAGCCCCCGCCCGGCCAGCAGCAACAAACTGCACTACTAAGCGCTTCCGGCGGGGCTGACATTGTTTTACTTCCTGTCTTCCCTCCTCCCCCAGATCCGAGCTCGGGCTGGGTGCCAGGCACTGAGGCGAGAACCTTCAGTACAGCCTCCAAGGGGCCCTGTCAGGCTTCTGTTCCCCGGCTGCTCGCGTCCGTTTCCAGCTCTCAGGCCCTAGCAGCAGGTTGCAATGTTTGGAGAAGGACCTAAACTCCGCAGGGGAATCCAAGCAAATTGTATCGGAAGGGGAGGGAGTGTTCATGAAAACGTTTGTATTAATAGTAGAGGTTTTAGTAAAACTTTTTAAAAACAGCTTTGGGTCTAAACTATCTTAGGGGGCCCCTTTAAAACAAGCAAGCTTTTGCTTGACCTGCCAATCCATGTAATATTTGGGATTGTGCCATTCATTCAGTGTATACAGGGTTCTGGTATAGAGCTTTTCAACTTAAAAAGCTTATGTTTTGTTGTTTAAAATACAAGGTGTAAGGCCCCCTAAATGCTTTAGTGGTGGCAACTGACATATACATTTCTAACAAATAAAATGAAGGTGAAAGATTGTAAATAGTAGGTCTAATCCTGCTCCCATTGTAATCAAAGACAGAAGTGCCTTTTGACTTCAGTGGGAACAGGATTGGGTCCATTTCTTCATTTAGGGCCCAATGGCTGAGTGCCCTCTGATTGGTGCTGAACATGCCCAATTCATACTCAGTTAAGTGGCAGTTGATATGGGTGTTCAGAAGATCATAGAATAGGGTTCTGTATTATGAAACTTAATTGTACTCCCATCCCACACCCTGATCTATGAAGTTTCCCCACCCAGACAGTTTACATGACTAATTATTAGGTATTAAAGTGGTTTGTGCAATAGCAGCTTACTGAAGAATGCAGCCAAAATCCTGAGTGTGACTTCTCCTGCTAGAATCTTTATTCATGTATTAACTATTTCTCAGATATTGTGATTCCCCCACATATGGGCTCCCTGAATCCACTGAGCCCAGAACACTGACAACACTACTCCATTGTCTTGTCCTTTATCTTCTTTAATAGAGATGGACCCAAAGTAAAACCTAAGATCCAAAGACTCCGGACTTCGGGGGCAATTCAAGATTCCCAAATTTTAGGGCTTGGGCTCAGACTAATTTTGTTGCTTCTAATCAGTCTCTCAGTCCAGTTACCCTCTAGGTTTTCAAAGCCCCCACAAATCTCATTAGCATCCACTCTTCCACAGTTGGGGGTCATGTTGAGGGTTTGTCCACATGGTAGGATAATGCACTGTACAGTGGAGTGGTTTCTAAAATGCACTAACATGTTGTGCATTAATTGATCTGTGTAGACCCTGCTGGTGTGTACTGAAGGTTCCATAGTATGTTAAAGTGCACTAGGGAACTTTTTGTGTGCATCAGCAGGGTCTGCACAGATCAATTAATGTGTAACTCATTAGTGCTTAAGAAATCACACCCCTGTAGAGTGCATTGCCCCAACCGTGTAGATAAGCCCTACATTGTACTGTCTCATCTATGACATCTCTCCTTCTCTTAAAACCTTTGTGCCTTTTAGTGCTTTTTCCTCTGATCGCTGATTACATTGAATCAAGCCCTTAAGGTGGCCATTGTATGTAATGTGCCAACTCTGTGGATGGTAGGATTGTAGTGGCCATCAGCTCAGCCATCAAATCTGGAAGCAGCATCATTATTTATTTCAAAAGCATAAACTAAGATTTTTCTATGTATGGACTGATTATAAAGTTACATTAGTTTCATAGTTACAGTCCAGTGAAAAAAATTGTATAGTTTGGTATGGTTTATGTTTTCATCTCACCCCTCATTTGATATGGAAGTAATCTCTCCTGGTTCCCCAGCTGAGTGAACTACTGAACACAACTTAGTTTGCAGTGGAAAATATATTGTAGTGAGGCAGTGTGCTGTAGTCAATTACATAGAGAGGGAGTCAGGGAACTGAGTTCTAATTGACTCTGCCTCTCACTTGTTATGTGAATTTTGAAAAGTCACTTCACTTCTGTTTCCTCCCTCTCTTTTGTCAATTTAGATTCTGATCTAAACTCTTTGAGGCAGGGACATTCTCTATGTGTTTGTACAGCCCCTAGCACACTGGGGCCCCAATCTCAGAGGGAACCTATACATGTTACTGTAATAATAATAGCAATGTGAACATTATTTTAAAAATATTTGACATTTATATGATGGTATCCATTCCCAAAGAATCCTAAGGCACTTTATAAATTACATACAAACAGTGTTGCCAAACCTAACCACTCAAAAATCATGACTTGTGCCCCCCAAATCATCAGATTGCTGTAAAAATCATAAGATTTTTAAAATTAATAATTTGGAGATCTTCATATTTGTCTTCTGAGGCTGAAAACTCTTCAGGTCACATTTTCAGACTTTTCTCTGCAACCGTGAAGGCTAGAAACTTACTAGGGTTTTTAATGAAAGCTGAGAATCTCATGCAATCACGTTAATCCAGAAGTTGTGACTTTAAGAAAAACACCAGATATCACAGGGCTCATAATACAATTGCAAAAGTAGCAACACTGAAACTGCACCACTGAAATGCAGCCAGTTCTAGGGTGGAGAGCAACAACCAACTAGCACACAGCATGCTGCACAACTGAGTGATTATGGGCAGTGGAAATTTTGGCCAGGTAAACTGGGATTTAGTGCTATGGGATTTTTAATCCACACAGAGCAGACAGGTCCTTGGATTTTGAGGGTTTGTTTAAATAATTCTGAATCAAATCTGCTATCCAATAGAATACAGTAAAATACATTGCAGGCTGAAAGAACATAGCAGCTTGCAAGGGACTCAGTGAAGCATAAAATGTCATGGACGAACACGGAAAACAGCAGCTTCCCTAATCACCAATCTCTTATATGTGAAGATCAGCATTTTCAAAATGTCCATTAATGTTGGGCACCAGTTGGGTGCCCAAATTTAATAAACATTTCTAGGGTGACCAGACAGCAAGTGTGAAAAATCGGGATGCGGGTGGGGGGGTTCTAGGCTTCTATATAAGAAAAAGCCTCAAATATCAGGACTGTCCCTATAAAATCTGGACATCTGGTCACCCTAAACATCATAAAATGTAGGCCTTAGTCTCTCTGTGACTCAACTGGTTAATAACACCAACATGTTTTTATGTTACTTTTTTGATCCATAGTTAAGTATCTTGTGAGACTTTTTTAATGTTTGTGAATCTCAGTGAGATTCTCAGATGGAAGGTGCTATAGATGCACAAAGTATGATGACTTCAAAAATTAAATGGATTATTCCTGTAGTCATTAACTTAAAGTTTTGCACCACAAAGCACAGGCAAAGATCTCTGCTGCAGTCATAAATGGCACAGACACAAATGCAGTACTTTGAACTAACCTTAAGACTGCAAGTGCATAGAGTGCTCAGATTAAAAGATAAATAGTTCACTTTTTATCTGTCTACATACGTGCTGGAACTAGGAGTGCTGGAGGTGCTGCTGGGATAGGGTTTACAGTTTGGTTCAATGGCTCTCAGCCGTCCCTCCCGTCGTCTCTCCCCCCCCCCCCCATACAAATTGTTCCAGCACCCCTGTCTCTCTAGATTTTTTTCTATAAAATATTCATAGGGTGGTGGTTGTCATGGTTATTTCATGAGCTGGCTGGTGGTTTGAAACAGTTGCACCAATCCAGCTGTGTAGCACCATGTGATGTTTAGAGAATATGCAGGTGATTGGACAGTAGGTTTAGTATGTAACTCCTGAGGGAGTGGCAAAGACTAAAAAGAGCTTTAACCAGCCTGTAGTAGCCTGTTTTTTTGGTGCTTGTAAGAGTTCAGCTGGGTGGAAGCACAAGCAAAGAAGGGGTAAGGAGTATTTATATTATAATTGGGTTTCTAATTGGAATAGAAACATATATTTGAAACAGATCAGAGTAAATGAGTAAATCTGATAATCAGTTGTATAAATCTTGTCTTAATAAGCAACAGTATGCATATACATGTTACAAAATGTATTACAACAGGTTCATGGCAGTAATGGATAGAATATGGTTAGAAAACATAGACAAAAATGAAAATTTGACCACCAAAAAAGGATTTTTGTTTTGATTTCCTCAACTTCTGTCTCAGATCCTGTTTTCTGACCTGCGCTAGAAATGGGGTAGCTGTGGTCCTTTATAATGTGACCATTTTGCATTGCTGTTTATTTCTGATTTGGTGGCAGTCTGCTCCATATTGTGAGGCTGTTTTTGCAGCCTCCTTTCTCTGCCTTGCCTTTTAACAGCATCTTCCAATGCTGATAGAGAATTACAGCTTTTTTTTTTTTGTAAAGCAGCATTTGTTTGCAAAGTTAAATAAAGCAATTTGCGCAACACAGCAAGGGAATAAGAGACTGGTGTTGGAAAAGATGTGCTACCTGGTCTTCCAATTTCCCTGTAGAAATCTAAGAACATATGTTTATGCAACTTCTGTTTTAAATATATATACAAACTGACCACTGTGTAAAACAAGCTTCATGCTTGCAGGAACTAGCTGATTCTTGATCTGTTAAAGACTTATCTGTACATACACTGTATGGTTTTTGTTGTTAAATATTATGTTCGAAGCCATACCGAGTGAAAGAAACTGGAAGATTAAACTGTTGTGCAATAAATAGACAAGCTTTATGTAGGGTTTTTTTTGGGGTGGGGGGGGTGTTGTATGACGTGCTAAAAAATTCCTCTGTTTAATACATACAAGGCTAGTGAAACCGTTGTTACTTATCACGGTTTTTAGTTAATCATCCATGATCCATTAATTTTTACTGAATGAGTCTTTTGCGTACAGCTGCTATTTTCTTTCAACCTGCAAAATAGTTTACAGTATCCTAAAGGAGAGCTGATTTGAGTTAGGGTTCATTTAAAAACAAAATCAATAAATAACCAAGGTCCTGTCTTATTTTTGTGAATTAAAAATCTCATCATACTTCATGCAAATGTCCTTTGTCAAAATTTCTCCACCTCTCAGTTTTGTAGCATTTTTTTTGCCAGTTGTTGAATGCTTCCGGCCATTCCAGAGGTGGTTGCATTTCAGTGGTGCTGTACGTCTTTTATAAAGCACTCTGATGAGATGGGCCTGACGCAAACTTACAATCCAGAACCACAGTGAAAGCCATATTAACTATTGTTATTTAAAATGACTTACATATTTTTTACTCTACGATCTTTGTGTCATTCCTCTACTACAAAAATCACAGTTTGTGCTTATATAATAAATAGAATAATTCTTTATAAAGATGAAAAATATTTTCAGAATTCTGGACATAGGAATATGATAATTGTAGCCCAGCTCTAACTGACAAAACTTAATATCACCACATCTTTAAAAGCTACTGCTGTCTTTCCAAAGGGGAACAATGAGCCAGTAGCCATTCTAGTCGCACCTCCTTTTAAGAGCTTGATTGGATGTAAGAAGTAGTCACAGAGGAAACAGCACTAAAAGGAACTAAGGTTTAAAAAGTTTTATGAGGAGGGGAAGTATCCACTAGAGCAGAATTTGCAATACCTAAGGTTACACAGTTTTAAAAGTCTGCCTCCCAACACACACATAGGTACTGCACAGAGACCTGGATGTAGGCTGACCAGATGTCCCGATTTTATAGGGACCATCCCAATTTTGGGGTCTTTTTCTTATATAGGTTCCTATTATCCTTGACCCCCCTGTCCCAATTTTTCACACTTGCTGTCTGGTCACCCTACGTGGATGGGAAAGTGGATAGAAAGAGGCCTATGCATGGGCTTTAAACACCAAAACCAAGTGGATCGGGAAACCTCAAAGATTATAGGTGGGCTTGATCCCACAAGTTAGGATCTAAGTGAAATGAAAATTTCCATGAATTCCTCCTCCACAGTGGTTTCTGGATTGCGAGTTTTACTTCAGACCCATCTCTGGTTAAGATGCTGAAGGACGGGTCAGAGAAATAGCACGTTCACAATGTTCAGGACCCACTGAAGTTCAGAGAGCGCGTTTCAGGAAGCCCCTAGATGAAGGAATTTAAATAGCTAAGAAGCTTTAAGATGACAGTGAAGATTCCAGCACAAAGGAGAGTCATAATCAAGAACAATCAGCAGTTGTTTGTGCAATATTAGCTTGATTAATCACCTTTGCAGTCTTGGAACTAGTCAGGTAAACTGTGTGTTGGACAGTTTCTGGAGCAGGAGAGATTTCCTAACTCATTAGTGTGGCTGGCTGCCTGTCACATGAATGTTTGTTTGTTTTTACCACCAGAGTTTGGTTGAAAATGTGGGACTTGTCTACATGGGAAAGTGAATTTAACCCCATATTGTTATATCTGTAAACCCCACCCAGGTACACACTTATTCCAGCATAAGTAGGCTTGGCAGAATTAGATTTTAATTGTTTTATAATTTAAATAGTTAATATAGGTGTTTATTTTAAAGCATTTTTCTCTCTTTAAATTTTCAAATTTGTGGGAAATTATAGGGGCAGGTCAAACAATGGGGAAGTTAGACAACAATTATTTAATGGCAATAAATGTTGAGATTTAAAGGTTTATAACAACTAAAACCAAATTGTCAATATCACTTGTCAAAATATACAAAGTAAATATCCTTAAATCAAACTAATAGGTTCTTAAACAACATTTTTTCTTAATAATAAAAATACTGATAAAAAAGTATCAATGGAAATATTTTCTTCATCAATTGTGTGTATATGGTGAAATCCTGTTTACTGATATATACCAATAAAGATCTAGGCCTTCCAAGCCTTAAGTATAAGAGTGTTGGGGGTTTTGTTTTTTCTGTTTATCTTATATTGTCAGGAAAGGGGTTTAAGCCATACCATAATAAGCCACTCATATGAAATTAGACTGTCCATCTCCATTATACCAGAATAACTATGTCAGAAAAACTGGCAAAACTTTTCCATGTAGACAGTTGCTGAGTTGCAGGTAGAGGGCTGAAGGCCAATGAGGAGGCATGACTGCTCTGGATGTGTGTCTCTCTCTCCTTTCTATCTGGTTTTCAAACTGTTTTTTGTGCTTTGGTGGTAGGTCAATTAGTCACATATCCATGGATTATGGTGTTATTAATGATAGACCAGCTGGGTAGGAGCATCAGCAAACAATCCAGACTTGCACACCCAGAACTCTTGTTTTGGGGAGAGGGAGAACCTAGGGTTAGATTTGAAAGGGCTTGGCACTCACAACTGGGGTCTGATTTTCAGAAGTGCTTCATTCCCATTAGAAAATCTTGTCATAAGTGCCACAAAGAGTTCAGTACTAAATGGAAACTGAGCCCTTATGAAAATTCTGACCTTGGAGAACAGGTTTAAATGCTGTGGAGCCAGCCACCTACCCCCTTATAGCTAGTTTGAGTTTGTTTCTGCTTCTTGTTCTTATTGAGGAAGACTGACTGAAAGCATTGGTCACCTTCCTGAATAAGGATCTTTCTGCCATTGGAGAAATTTTCACCAGTGCAGTAATTTCCCCCAAGTGTAAACATGCTGCAGTAATGTAAAGCTAGCTTTACACATGTTACTGGAGTAAGCACCACAGTAAGCTTGGTGTAGGATGTCTCCATTAGAGGTACATCAGCACAAACCTCTCTTGTTATACTGTTGCAAATACAATGCTGCTAAGTTGTTCAGTTTTATCACATCTAAATATTTAGAAGCTGAGGCTTGAAGAAACACACTAGAGTCATGTTACCTGATAATCTCAATTCTCTTTAATGAAAGTTTCTAGTCTTCATACTTGTGTGGAAAAGTTTGAAAGCATGACTCCTACCGACTCAAACACCAAAAGGCAAATAAAAATAACCCAAAGCTTATTTTTAAAATCTCATGACTTAAAATATCATGATTATGTGGGGGCCTGACTCATGAGTTTTGAATCTTTGCGGTCGTAGGTACTGCCAAGATCACTAAAATAGGAAAGTATTTTTCTTCAGGGGCTGAATTGGTTACTATTAAGTTGTCTGATACCCAGTGGCTAGACCCTGCTAGCTAGTGAACTTCTCTACTTCCTCTTCAGCTCCATTTGGTGGGGTCAGGAAACCATTTAACTGCCCACTCAGGCAAGGATATTTACATACTGTGACTTTGGTGGGCAATATACACCTGCAGATTCCTAGTTGCATACTGCCCAGGAATCTGCAGGTACAGATACAAAACTTTGTATTATGGATATAATTTGGATCTAACTTTGTGTTATGATTCATAGATTCTAGGACTGGAAGGGACCTCGAGAGGTCATCGAGTCCAGTCCCCTGCCCTCATGGCAGGACCAAATACTGTCTAGACCATCCCAGATAGACATTTATCTAACCTACTCTTAAATATCTCCAGAGATGGAGATTCCACAACCTCCCTAGGCAGTTTATTCCAGTGTTTAATCACCCTGACAGTTAGGAACTTTTTCCTAATGTCCAACCTAAACCTCCCTTGCTGCAGTTAAGCCCATTGCTTCTTGTTCTATCCTTAGAGACTAAGGTGAACAAGTTTTCTGCCTCCTCCTTATAACACTCTTTCAGATACCTGAAAACTGCTATCATGTCCCCTCTCAGTCTTCTCTTTTCCAAACTAAACAAACCCAGTTCTTTCAGCCTTCCTTCATAGGTCATGTTCTCAAGACCTTTAATCATTCTTGTTGCTCTTCTCTGGACCCTCTCCAATTTCTCCACATCTTTCTTGAAGTGCGGTGCCCAGAACTGGACACAATACTCCAGTTGAGGCCTAACCAGCGCAGAGTAGAGCGGAAGAATGACTTCGTGTCTTGCTCACAACACACCTGTTAATACATCCCAGAATCACGTTTGCTTTTTTTGCAACAGCATCACACTGTTGACTCATATTTAGCTTGTGGT